GAATAGTTTGCTTTACTCTCTACTTATCATTATAAACCATCAGAATCTGTTACATTTTAATTATGGAAAATTGCCAAAAAACGATTATTGTGAAAAGTGTCTCATGTGAAGAGTAACATTTCGAAAAATTCTCTACCTTTTGATTCTTTTCAGTTCTAGCTGATTGCAAGCTATGGTTTTGTAGGACATGAAATTCTATACAACAATATAGAGCGAAAATTGCTGGAAAATATCCTTGAGAGAATTGACGAAAGGGAGGAAAAAAGCGAATTTTTGTGACGCAAACAACACTTAATTTATTCATGGAGTCAGTTATACTTAACTGCTCATAAGTCAGAACAAAATTTTAAAGATAGATTTGGAAGAGCATCAAATTCTGCTTCTAATTGATTACTTTCGGCCCCCTTCGATCAGACTTTAACGTTCGAAAAGCCAGCAAATATCTTTACCAAGACCTTTGAAACTAGTGTTTTGTACAAACGTCATTTTTAGTCTCCATCAAAGATTGACTCTTTATAAATCAACTTCAAGTCAAGAAGATAATTCTGAACACACAGTTAGACAGAGCTTCAAATGCTGATTCTAACTGACTACTTTTTATTTTCTCAGGTTACTTCTAAGTGGCTGAAAACTGAATAAACATTTTGTCTCAAGACATTTGCAACAGGGGTTATCATTGTATTCTAGGAAAGGTTGAATTCTATTAATAAAACTCATATTGGTTGTAGAATTATTTTCTCTTATATTGTAAATTAATGATTATTTTCGTTCTCTTCTTTCTTTCAATGAAATAAGATATTTAAAAAAAAATAGGAACATAATATTCACAAACTATTAAACTGTGAAGCACAAAGTTATTTTTTAAACAAATAAGATATTATATGAAAAAGATTATATGTGACACTCTTAGATTTTATTTTTATCAATACAATATCAATTAGTATTTGGTGAATGCCCTACTACACACAATCCGTTAAGAATCTTGTTTACGAAAACTAAAGATCGATATTCAAGTTGATGCTACTAGACCTAATCATATGTTTATCTTTGAATCAGATATAACCATTCTTATTGGTGACTATTAGTCAACAAGTGCACCACAGTGAGCGAGCCATCTGTGTCAAACCTTATCTGAATAATGCAAAGCTGGATATACACAGCCGAAAAAAAATATCACTAAACAAACGAAACTCTTGTAAAATGATACGGTTATCCGACCGACGTAACAAAAAGAGAAATCCACTGATCACACAACACCCAATATGAACCTTTATGACGGCAGAAAAGAAACTAGATCCATCTTTAACTTCACCAACTGGCATCCGACGAACAAGCTAAAATATTCGAAACTCTCCTATTCAGCAGCTACCAAAATTCATGCAATTAAAATCTCTTAAAACAAATATGAATAAATACAACCCACAATGAAAAGACTACAGAGATTCTCAAGTATCCTTCAAGACCAAAGCAATCAATCAAGCATCCAATACCCCATTCTCAATACACCTTTCGTAAATCGACAAGTCAAAACGCAAATGCACACAGTCAATACCTTCAAAAATCCTCCGGTAACAAGTTTTCGCTCCAAAATCAACATTTTCTGTCAAATGATTGCCTTATAAAAATGGTACCATTCGATTCAGCATAAAATTCTGCATTCAGCACAATTAACTAGAACAGTAGTACAGATAAGGAGACGAATCCGTACCAGAATCATCGAATCTGATGCTAACTTTACTGACGTGCTCAAATATGTTTTCTTTTGTACAACCACTCAAAATTTCCTTCTTATGCTATGTCTGCAGGTTTTTTTTCTTGTTCTTACTTTTTTTTGTAAATTGATTATTGAAAATAAATCAAATATCAATACGACTATTTAATTTATTTTTTACTACATCGTTACAAATTTTATTTTAGTGAATAAATAAAGTGAAATAACAATTAAAAAAAAGGGAAATCAAAAATGCAAAGTTTTGATCATTGCCGAGTATTCATTCAATAAGAAGGAACGCTAACCGACAGATAAAATAAAATCTAAATAAATAAAACGCATTCGATCACCATTACTTGTCTCATCCATGTATGGCATAAAAAGTCAGTATTGGAGTAAAATATTGAATTGATTCATGATTATTTACAATGAACTTGATGTTAATAGTTGTTGATACTAGTTTATACGATTATCTGAGATAAGTAGGATAATTCCTCTCTTCTCCACTTTGTTTTTGATTTTGAGAGACATTTTTTCTTTTTGACTTTTTCTGAAGTACGTTTTTCCTGTGAACCAAATCAAACAAAAGTTATGATCGATAGTTCTATCAAGAATAGCAGAACATACTGCGATCTACAATCTTCATAGTTACTGCTAATACTGTTCCTGGTAGTTAAGAATTCGAAAAACTAAGCTATCTGAATGTTAAATTCAATAAAAAGTTGATGTTGTTGGTTTTTCTAGTGTCAAATTGATTCAAATTTAAAAATAACATGTTTTCCATTAGATATTTATGTCACAGTATTTTCTTTTATTTTCATTATTATGAATATCTCAAACTTCTGTCAATTTAAAAAAAAATAACTGATGATAATGTCTGATAATCAAGTTGAATTATAGTATTTCTCTTAGTTCTCCATCATGTTATTGACTGGAGCTGTATAAGTATATATCCAGCCACTGTACCAATACTATTATTATTATGATTCCTTCTGTTCTGTAAAGGCATATTTTAATATTATTCATCCTGGAGAAAGGATTCGTACGAAATATAAAACAGGTAAATATAGTATGAATAATTTTGTTCTTTCAAAATATATTTACAGTCGGTATAACGATGTCGAACGGATTTGTTTTTATATTTTTTCTTTTGTCCTTGACGTGGATTCTATTGAGAAATGGAATTGTAGTTAGCAAAACATCTTGTCCATATCCTTCAGAGTTTAAAAATTCTTATGACTACAATTGGCAATCACGAAATAATGAATGGATAAACACAAAAAGTAAAATAGATTATTTTGTTTTAAGTCTCTCTTGGTAAAAATTTCAATGTTTTTAAAGACTTTTAAATGTTCTCATTGTGTTTCTAGGTCACCAACATTTTGTGCATCACTTCCAAATAATGTACGCAATAAAGAATTTCAATGTTATCGAAGCGATGCATTTGATCTTGTTGTTCACGGTCTTTGGCCACAAACATCTGGAGCTGCATCAATTCAAGATCAACCTCGAAATTGTCGAAATGAACAACAACTTCCGTTCTCAATAATTAAACGTTTCTACTGTCTGATGCCCGATGAAGATTTAATGCAAGCTGAATGGGAAAAACATGGTAAGATTATTCAATTATCTATTCTTAGTAGCATATCGGAAGAACATTGTTACAGGTTCATGTTATTATAAGACAGCAATAGATTATTTTAAAATGATTGAAAGTCTTTTTAATCAATTGAAGATACCTGATATTCGTGCTATGAACCAACCAACATTTTCATCAATTAAAAATGCTTTTCTTACATTAAATTCACCTCAATTATTTCCTTCAGCCATACATGTTAAAATGAATAATCAAGGGCGATTAGAGGATATTCGACTCTGTTATGATCTTCAATACAACTTCATTAATTGTAGACAATAAACTAAGACGAAAACTGATTCAACAGCTATTATTCACATTAATATCTCTAAAAAGGACATTTCATAGCTGAATTTTTAATATCATAATAATCAAATATATAATAAATGCATCGCGTATAAGAAAATTTTCGGATAGATAAAAACTTTGCATACTTATTTAGCTGCTAACGTTGCTTTTTTTTCTAGTCACGATAAATAGAATGGATTACTGCGAAACGAACTCAGCATATCCGTTACTCTTTCAAATCTGAAACCTGGACATACAACAAAAAACAAAAAATAGAATGGATCATAAAGTATATGATGATTTTGATCTAGTAATAATTCAGATTATTATTCTAAAGTCAAGCGACAAAGAAATTAAAATTATGACGAAAAGAAAGTCTGAAACATCGACATTTATTCGTATTGTAGAGAAAAGAGACATCAAGTCTTCACGAGACAATGTAAACTTTGCTTTGGCATTATGTCAACAATTGATCAATTGCCGAATAATACTCTGAATTCAGCGCCAACTAATATTATATAGTATGTCAGAATTTTCAAGATGATTCGCCTAAACATCATTTACTATGCCTCATATCTCAATTATCATACGAAAATAAATCTTCACATTCCAATTTACGTTGATCTACAAAAAAATATATGTACATATGTATGTAGAACTGTTCATCAATTGTCTTGGATGATTTCTTAATGTTCTCTCTTGAATTCTCATTCAAATGAATAGATTTGAAAAAGTTTTGTTGAATTTTTCATTTTTGATAAAAGTTAAATCTATAAATGAAAAATTCGTCTTCTATGATAAAACATCCAAACGTGTACATTTCTTCCTTATATTATAATAAGCAACCGATATAAACGCACGGAATGTGTCAGATGACTGGACCAAGTGCGAACGCAAAAAAAAAACTCAAACAAAGGTAAGAGTAGAAATATAGGCAACAAACATATAGAAAAGAAAAACCAAGGCGACATTTTCAAGAGCACACAGACATTTAAGACTGCGAATATCACTGATCAAAAACAAAACAGCTATACAGATACACGCACACAGATAAACAAGATTCGTTGTAGTAGAAAAACACAATAACAATACATAAGAGAAGGAAAAGATCTTCTCCTATTTCATTAGAAAAAAAAAGCGAGAATTATGAAGATTGTTGTTGATTATAATGTTTAACAAGAGAACCCGTCGATGATGTACTTCCACCACGACGTTTGAGATTCTCAAGTAATTGATTTGCTGTAGCACTAAATCGTTGTGGACATGATGAACCTAAAATCATTTCAAATAATTATAATAAATTAAATGAATATGTCAATGAATTGATCCCCATACATGCAAGATAAAATATGCAAATTTTTATTTCAAGAAACTCTCATTTCTCCATAATGATCATATAGATTGATATGCTCTGTAAACTTTCTTTGCTTCATTTTCAAAATCACTTAAGCAATATCGTCTATCGACTTAAAAGTTCGTATGTGTGATTGTTGACATGTTTTATGAAACTCGTACATTTAATATTTGAAATCTCATTATGTTCAGAAAGAATATCTTTCAAAAATAAAAACACGTCCATCAGTTCGATGATAGATATTTTCAAAATATTTAAGATTCGGATTATTGCGAGAGAGAGAGAGAGTCAATCGTTAACTTTAATTCTGGTCGAAAGTGGGACTAGGAGCGAAATTAAAATTAAATGACTTCATTTTTGTTCATGTCTAACAAAGTATTAAACAAGAAGTATACTAACAACTAAATGAATCGCACAATATCCACGAGCTTTTTTTCAATTTGAATATAGTATTGAAAAATAATTTTCAAATCCAATGCCAACAAAATTTTTGCTAAATCTAATATCAAGAACAGAACCTTTTTAAATCGGATCTAGAAATCTGTAAACTTAATTTTTTTCCGTCTAGATTCCAATCTCATACTACTGATTTCCTATCTAAAATCCAGCTATATTCTATAACGTATAGAATTCTTTGAATAAATGTACGATCAAAATAAAATTTTCTACGGGCACAAGTTTAAAAAAAACATTAACCTTGACGATGATTCTATTTCATGAAAACACAAAATTTTGGTCTTGATCTTGAGATCTCCCTGGGAATCGTGAACAAGACTACTACTTGAACTAAAAAAGGCTAATACCATACATATCTAATGACAATTCTAAAGTAACTCAGAAGGAATTCTTGAAGATCATTAAACAGTTATCTAGAAATTCATAAACAAATCTATTACGTCTAATTCTTATTGCGTATATGTTCTAAAACAATTGAATAAAGAATCTGACTAAACACAGATATTTTCTACTAACAAACAAAAAGAAGAAACACAACGACAATGACTAAAACAAAAATTTCCATGCAAAATCAAAAAAAAAAACAATTCTCTGTTCTATCTGCTATTAATCATGCTAAAGAAATGACTAAAGCCCATACATATATATATATATATATAACACACTGATCTCTTACATAAAATAATTAATTTCGATAACGATGATGATAAACAGCTGAAAAATTGAATTTATTTGCTCATCTATTTAAATAGAATGACTTACCATTGGTTGTTAAATTTTGATGAACACCATTTGTTGTAACACAATTATTAAAAAAAGTTGTTGACGGTGGTAAACCATTCGAACTAAAGCTAAGTCCTAATGGATTTTCATGACGACGAGCTTTTGATTCTGCTGCACGCTGAGCAATAACAGCAGAAAAATTCACATCTGTTCTCGGATCCGCTACTGTTGAATTTCGTTGAGATGATGATACTACTGGAGGAGTTGAACGACGAAGTGTAGTCGGAGATGGAGGAGGAGGAAAGCCATTTAAATGAGTTGTGTCCTCGATTACAATATTTTTCAATTCACCTAAATAATATAAAGATAATGAATAACTCTTATTTGAATTCCTTAAAGGACAAAAAAGAAAAAGAAACATGAAAGAATAAATCCATGACATTTTGACCAAAATCCTATTTGATATTTATATTTTTTTAATCAAAGGTCATATTAACTTACGATGATGAACTGATTTAATAATTTTTTTCTGTGATAATGTTTCAAGATTAACTTTTTTTAAACGAGTTTTTGCTTGTTCAATTTGTGATTGAAAATCTGGTGTCATTGTTATAGATTCATATTTTGATGAAGTTTGATATTCAATTCTAATTGGTACATCAAAATTAATAGGAAATGGTGGTGGTGGTGGCGGAGGAGGAGGAGGAGGAGGAGCAAGAGTAGAATAATTTTCATTCTCTATTGCGATTGATACAATATTATTATTATTATTTGAATTAAGTGTTGTATTGATTTGTTTTCGATTATTTGATCGTTTTTTAATATCACTTGGTTTTGGTGGTAGAAGATTTAAATTTGTTGTTTTAAAAGTAGACATATTTGTTGTATTTATAGATAAACAAGGAGTCATATAAATAGTAGTACTATTTTCTTCAATCGATATTTGATTTGTTGGTACAACATGATTACTGTTCAATGAAGATAAAGATGATTCTTCATCAGCTTCATTTGATGATGAATTTGAATTACGTCGAATATTTGTTGTTGATGATAAATTTGGTACACTTGTTGTTGAAGGTGATCCATGATTTAATGGTCGAAAAGTATTATATCCTTGTTGATTTTGTGATGAAGAAAAACAATCATATAGAGAAGAATCACGTTCAGGAACTAATGGTTTATTTCTAAAATCAATATTGTTAGAACATGGTTTTACAAAATAAACTATTAGTTAATTTACTTCGATTGAATAGAACCACCAGATCCATTTGAAAGATTTTCGTTCTGTTGCTTTGACATTGATATACAATCTTCAGAATGATTTAATGATGGAACAATCATACTACCATAATCATATTCACCCAGTGTTCGATCAAGGTCTTCTAAGAAAAAGAAACACATTTTTTATTTTCAGTTATTTATAAAATAATTAGCGCTTTGTCTAAATAATCGTAATATTTTCTACATATATAATAGAGAAAAGAAAATGACTTTGAATGAATTGCTTTCTACTATCGCATCACTTTACAGAAATATGTAACTTATTCAAGAAACATGAATACAACTGATTGTGATCATACTTTTTATATGTGTATTTCATTCCAATTGAGATCTATGTTAGTTTTTCTCGCTAAAAAAATATTCTTTCTATAGTACCTTCAAAGAAAAAGAAAATTAAACAACAAGATTTGATCCTAGATGTTACAAAAAACAAATCTTTTGTAGATTATTGTAGAATACAAAACTTCAGGTTTATTTTTAACTCTTTCATCTTTTGGATTTCGTTAATTGCAAGTCTATGAAAACTATTATTCTACTCTTGAAGTTCTATCTATTCTGAAAGCTTTAAAATTAACCATTGAATTCTTTTAGAAAAGTTTCAGAAAGAAATTTGATATCTCTTAATGAATGTGTTTCATTTGTTTCTATATTTATGGATATCTTCACTTTTATTTCTATTTTCATATCTTATGAAATTTATTCTATCATT